TTGTGCCCCAAAATTTGGAGAAGAAGTTTGCAGCAGCTGCTGGACAACCACCGTCAATCCCCTGGCGCTCAAGGTCTCAAAGAATGGAAATGAGAGAAGAAATGAGTAAGCTTGAGCCTGTTACGCGTTCTAGGCCTCTCTCAGTTGGAGAATCTGAGTTTGGGCATATCGAATTTGGTTCATTTGGAGATTCCACATTGTGTTCTACTCCAGAAGTGCCTAGATCATACGTGGAAAATGTGGAGAGGAAGAAGGGTCTTAAGCTGTTACCTGTTTCAGGTTCCCGATCCAGAGCTATAAATGCTGAAGCATCTGGAACTAGTTCGAAGACTCGCCCATTTAGCATTGGTTCTTCTTCGGAGATGAATATGCTGAGAAATTATGACAAGACTTTGATGGATTGTGGAAAAGAGGACACATTAAGGAAAGGAAGAGAAAATATCGATTCTTTGGTCTCTGATGTAAAATTATCAAAAGTTTTATCAAGGGCAAAATCTGTTAGAACAATCAGAAATAGTGGATATGTTGTGGATGAAATGAAAAGGGAGAAACCTTCAAGTCAAATAGACGACAAGGTTGAAATTACGCATTACAAATTTGAACTGGATACAATGGTGAAAAAAGGGGGCAAAATAGAAGAGCTTGAAGACCCATTAATCAACACTGGAAACCAAGATTTTAATGGTGGGTGCCCTGCACCAAACTCGTCACTCCCTTACTCCAGCTCATCACCGGCAATCTGTTCAGAGGTCCAAACTCAACAATGGGACATAAACAAGAGGGTTGCTCCTAAATATCAGAAAGGAGGAATACTAGACTTCGATGATCCTAGTGAGGTAGAGTGGGTTGCTTCCAAGTATCAGAAAGGAGGAACACGAGACTTTGATGACCCTAATGAAGTAGAGAGTCAAGAAGGTTCGGGAAGTGAGTTTGACATAAGCTCAGATTCAGAGGATGCTAGAACTTTCCTTGACGATAATTCAGAACTAGGAGGAAGTGAAGTTGACAGGAAAGCTGGTGAGTTTATAGCAAAGTTTAGAGAGCAAATTAGGCTTCAGAAGATTGCACTTGCTAAAGGAAATAGTGGTTGTTAGTTCCTAATTGAGGTAAAATTTTATTTACCAAAAAGATTATACATTGATCAGGAGAAATCTGATCTTCCTGCCTGGTGTTCTATTTATTCATTTATTGTCTTCGTAAATCTTATATTAGTTGGAAAAACTGAGTAAATTATATAGTAAAGGTGGAGCTTATGGTGGTTACAAGGATATGTATTTGGGATGATTGTTTTGTTTCTACATTTTCTGTAATGTGATTGTCATAGCTGCTAGTTTAGCATCAGTTATGTGCGCATTTTTTTGTGAATCCTTGCTTGTTTCACTGCTTAGAGCCTAATCATACTAAACGCTTGGGTCGATCTTGTAATGAAAGGTTTGAGGAAAACCTTGTCCTTTTCGTCTTTATTATAGAATAACTTGCAGTAACAAGTAGCTGTCACTTTGAGAGTGAACCAATAGAAATTTGTTTGTTTGTTTTTCTTATTTTCAATTTTCATTCTGTTTATTATTGTTGACAGAAGAAGGAATGTGGCTTAATCTTTGTGATTGCCTGCCTGCATGAAGTCAAAACACATTCTGGCATTTGTGATAAGCACTCTCTAAGTCATTCCATTGATGTATTAATTTATAAAAACGTTCATCCACTACTAACATATCTTGGTTGTTGATTGTAGGTTGTCTTCACTCTGCAAAACAAACTTGCTGATATGTAGTTAGAACTTAGAAACGGACATTTATTTCCATTTCTGCTGCCCTACACTCCTGTCTCCTTTCAATTTGTTTACTGGTTATCTGACTTTTCTAATACTAACAGATGCATTGCTTTTGCGATCATTAATCTAACATGATTACTAATTCCTTTCTTTGTGTTTGCAATGAAGTGTGAAATTGTATAGCATCTTCAACAATGACGATCATGCATTTTCGTTTATACTAATGAAATCTGTAAACATGATTAGTAGTTTTTGGAGAAAAAAAGTTAGGGAAATAATAGAACGAAACTAGGCGAATGTCAATATCATGGATAATGTTTATTACACCTCATCCTTCAGGGCTCCAAGAATGGTCACATGGCAGCCACATGATGATCAAATTCAAGTCCACACTCCACGTTACTTTGCCTATATGGCAATCCCATCAAACTCTCATAAAGAGGTCGACTCATGAAGAGGTCAAACCTCATGGACGAGGTGAAGCAATACAAGATGCTACAGCTTCTAGGCACATGAGGTGCATCCCACATGAGATCTTTCACACAAAATCTCTTATGATTGGTTGGTGTGACCTCTTTCAGTGGCAGTCACTCTACCAAAGCAACTTGTCAAGTCTAATCCACTCATATTAGGTCTAAGTCGTAGGGCATCAGCAACATTAAATGCACCTAAGTCTATAAATGACATGATGACTCCTACGACAAGTCGCCTCGATCAGTGCAATGAGGCCACATATCTCTTCATTCAATGACTATCATTTTTCCTATTCTAGTATAAAAGTTTACACTTTATGTCATCGAATGTAATGCAATTTTACACACAACTGTAACATTACTCTCTTATTTTCTACTCTATAAATTGGTTCTATTCCGACTCCCTGTATTCGAACATTTTGGCTCATATCCGTAGCACGTCCCACACCCAAACATCATTATAAGTGACTGACTTGATCGTTGGAGTATCTGCGATCGCGTCTCCCACCTTTTGAGAACACCACATGTCCCTAACGAATTTGTTTAAGTGTGCAAGACAAAGGTTAGATGAAAGTGATTGAAGCAGGGATATGTTGGTCATATGAGTAGTGTAGAAATCGAGGTCAATGGATGGGCATCATCTATGGATCAACACGGTTTGATCTGAGACGTCACCTATACAACTGATCTGAATCATCGAAGGTGAAAAGGTGCATCTTCAAATTTGAATAAATGGTCAAGATATGCTACGTGTAGCACGCACACACACACACNATATACGCGCTTTAAGCATTGCATGTCCAAGCATTATATGAATGCTTCGACTTGGCGAAATATTGTGCTATAATATCTCTTTGAAATCAAGAGGTCATCCTGAGGGCACAAATTCAACCAACTCAAAATAATCTACACCGAGCATCACTTTTTCAGAAACAAATCACATAGCATGGATGACACACTTCGACCCAAAAAGTCAACGCATTATATGAATATTCATACATGGAATAAGAGGATTATTATTATGCCTCATCCACCCCATCTCCACCCCTATCCCATCCCCTGAGCCAATTTCGTACTTGCGTGCTATTATTTTGATTGCCAAAACTGTTGTTTGAAAAGAAATTTGACAATATTTGTCTGAACATAATTTGCCCACGTTTGGCCCCCATTCTGTCCAAATTTTAATGGTTGAAATAATATTTTTTTGAAAAATATGTGGTTGGAAAAGATTGAAAAGTTTTTTATTTGCGCATAATATTATTTTATGAAAGATTGTGTGGTTGAAAATAAGATAGAGAAAAAAATGAGAAGGAGAACGGGGGCCAAACGGGAGCTTGAAGGAACGCTAGCTATATGCTTGACACATGCAAGTCGAACGATGTTGAAAGATCTCCCTCCAAGCCATATATACGACTTTCATCGAATACGGCTTTCCGCAAAATTCTATATTCCCTATCATTGTCTACCAGCACAGTGGGGCCCCTGTAGCCGTAAGTCCCGTTTCCTTTTCAGGAGAAGCGCTTATGTTATGTTGCAATATAAATTATCCTAGAATGCTACTGATGATTCTTTAGACATCATAAGCAACAGAGGATTCTTATTGAAGAAGATGACTAAATCATTGCCCAATCTGAGAGATGGAAAGAATCCTCAATTTCGACACTTGTTACCTATTTCAAAGAATTTTTTTTAGATAGAATGATTTATTTTTCGTATCGTCATGTTTTATGAGAAGTGTAGTGACAACTTTGGGAGGAAAACTATATCAAAGAATGTCAAGTTATGGAGCCTAATTATTGTCAATCCTAATTGTTGTCACTTTGTGGAGTTGATCACAAATTGACCTCTGCAATGTGGTTGTCGATGGTTGGGGGAGGGGGGGGGGTTAGA